TGAAATGCGATGCTATGCCTGTGGCTCATTTTAAATTAATATATTATTCCGGTATTTAAAGTAATGCATAACTGAAGTTATCCAATTCTGCGAATTAATAATACTTTTATCTCCATAAACAGCAACAGAAATATATCTTTGAGGATACTAGGGAAAAAAGTGAACCAAAGATTACATCTTCAAAAACCGAAATATTTCCCCTCGAAAATATTACGATGTAAGGGTTTTAAGCTTGGCAAACATAGGAATCAATCACATAATATTAGCTCAAATACGGTGTTTTGTATAAAAAAAATAAAAGAGAAGCCGTTACTATTAAAAAACTCAATACAGTTAAGCTTTTTACGCCGATTTATTTTTATGCGAATTTAATTTAATTTTATGGTTTGTATTTCATTCAAAAATTTATCCAAAATTTCTAATATTATCTATGTATTATAATTAAATATTATTTATTCACATCCAGCTGTCAGTACAATGAGCTTTTGCAATTCGGAGATACCCTTGTTACATGATGTCCCCTATTACATGATTGAAAGTTTCGTATTGAGGAGCTTGAGGCGATTTGCTAGCAACTCATCCCTTATCAAAACAAATAAATGCTAAAAATTAAGACCAAAAGCCTAGGAATACTATGGATGGATCAAAATAAAGACGACTAATGCAACGGAAAAGGAAAATGATATTGGCTACATGGAATGTACAAGGACTTAGATCCAAACAAGCAGAAGTATTTAAAGAATTAGGAAATGAAGAGATAAGAGAATATATACATATCTACAATGGAGTCAGTGAAGATTAACAGAGCTAAGAGAGGAAGTCCTCTATTGCCATTCGAAAAAATCTTAAAAAAACAATATTAAATCGTGGACTAAAGTAAATGAACAGCTGCTGATACTGGAAATGAAAAAGAACTTAAAAAAATACATTCATGAGGCTGCCAAGTGAAGCTTTTGGGTTATAAAGACAAACATGAAACAAGAATGGTGGTCGGAGAATATGCAAATGTTCAACAAGAAGAGAAAACTGCTTATCAGAAATGGATGTCAACGAGGAAAAGATGAAGATTACAAGATATATCCAAAAATTAAATCGAGATGTATAAAGAGAGGTAATGAAAGTAAAAATGAGATGTGGGATCGAAGATGTGCAGAGGTGGATATCGGTGGAACAAGAGTTGGGCAAGCTTGGAAGGTGGATAAAGTCTCTCCAGATGGAAGGAAAGGAAAAATCTAACTTACAGTTAATAAATCTGAAACAGTGGGAAACACCATTATGAGGATTACTGACAGAGGATAGATGTAAATTCCAAAAGATCGAAATGGAAGAAATAATCCGAACATACGCAAATAATTAAGATAACAACCGGAGAGTTTAAACGATGCCCTTTAAAAGATAACAAAACGGTTAAAGCAGCAGGACCTGGAGACATCCCAATTGAGCCGATAAAGTATGGACCAAAAATATTACATGAGATGTGTTTGTTTAAACTATTTAACAAATGTTAAAATGCCAAAATATCCCCGATGATTGGAATATTGGATACATCAGCTCAATATTCAAAAAAGGGATAAACGCAAATGTTCTACTTATAGGGGAATAACTGTTATCACCTCAGTGGGGAGGTTGTACGGTCGAATAATAAAAAAAAGAATAGAATCAAGAATACGAAGATATAGAAGAATAAAATAATGGATTTCGTGCAGGAAGATTGTACACCGACGGTTTTATTCGTTCTGCAGCAAATAATCTCAAAAATGGAAGGCAAGGAATCTATCTACTACCCCCTATTGTTTGTAGATTTGGAGAAAGCCCATTTGAAGAGGTTTACTCTCCGCCCACTGAAATTCACCTAAGACATGGGTGTATGTGACCTAAAGTCAAATTTAATTTAATATTTAACATCAAATGTGATTAACAACATTAATGTACAATATCTTTTGTAACCATATGTAATTTAAAGGGTTTTTTACCCGATATTTTGGTGGCTCAAGCATGTTAATTTGCGTTTTAAACCTGATGATGGAATTATTATTCCAAAACGTTCGTGTAATTTGATGTAGCCCTTTTAAGGGTTTTTTACATATACCCATTTACAAAGATCTAACCTTTTTTTTATTTATGGATGAGTATTCTAAACTTTCATTAAATGAGTCTCCACTAGCTAATATATAAGTTTTATTTGAAATTTCAGTTTGGCCGATAGCGCTTCACGCTTTTTTTTATCTTGTAAGCTAAGAAGTTCCAATAAATATTTAAAAGATTGTTTCTCAAAAAATTTTTAAAATCTTCAGGGTACTGGGAGATGTCTTTAATTAAATTAGCATGACTTGTATGTTGACTACACTCCCTTGTAAACTATCGCTTTTTCTTCTGCTATCACTCATAACTTGATACGCTTCTGCCACCAAGCTCTGCATATTCTCCTCTCTTCTTCTTATGGTGCCCTATCCAATTAGTGAATGTTGTCGACAATTCTGGCATACTCTTCTCGATCTTGTGTGGCTCTAAAGAGTGCATAGGCATCGAGGTTTGTCCAATCCTTATGTTTTTAAGCCATGAATATTTCTTTCTTCCGATACCCCGCCTTCCTTCATTTTCCCTCCATAATAAGCTTTAAGAACTGGTACTTGGAATTTCGAAATATATGACCAATAGGCAGTTTTTCTTCCTTTTATTATTGGCAGCAATTCTTGTTCTCTGTCCATTTCATTAAATACTTCGACATATTCTCCACTGAAGCAAATATTTGCCGTGTAAACTCTCTTCGCGAACGAGGCATAACCACGGTCGTGAAGTTATTGAGATTCGTGTCAACCAGAGGGAGGCTCTTGCTCGTGATTCACTATCCATGTCAATTCGGCTTAAAGCTTATGGATATTTTTTTCGTATTTCAATCAATAATAAATTTCTGACATAAAGCTTATAGGGATCCGTTGTTTTAAAGATCTATGCATGGAATCGAAGAAAAGTAAACAAACAAGTTGCTTAGTAATATAGAACACATTCTTATAATTAGTCATAGAAATTGTGAAATTGATACCTCTACGCCTTGAAGTTTTTACCGAATTGATAAAATTGGATTATTTAAAACAAAATTTATTTTTGATACATTTACTAATAAATTAATTTGTTATATACTTGCAAGGAAATAGAACAATACGAACGAAAATACGACAGTTACAATATGCACAAAAAAATAATATCAATGACAAACAAGAGGAAATTCAATAAGTCACCCAACAGCATAAAAGATAGCGATGGAAATCTTATCTCGGAGCCATCAACGATCTCAGAAACATGGAAATCATACACAGAAAAATTATTTGTATCTGACAGGACTGATGATCACCTATATGGAGAAGGAGAAACAGGACCTTCATTCCTTAAATCGGAGATAGAAGATGCCATTGCAGCACTAAAAAACAGTAAGTCAGCAGGTCCGGACAATGTACCCTGCGAAATATTAAAGATCCTATATAAATCAAACACACATTTCCTTGATAATCTAGTTGTACTTTTTAACAACATATATAATAGCGGTAAAATCCCGAGAACTGGCTGCAGTCAACATTTATTACAATCCCGAAGAAACCAAATGCCCAGATTTGTGATGACTACCGGCTTATAAGCTTGATCAATCATGTCACTAAAGCGTTCACTAAGATCATTAAAAGAATATATGATAAATGTGAGTCAAATATTGATAGATCGCAGTTTGGTTTTCGGAAAGCACTTGGAACTAGAGAAGCAATTTTCGCTCTCCAGGTGCTTATACAGCGGTGTAGAGACGTTGATAAGGACGTGTATTTGTGCTTTGTAGATTTTAGAAAAGCATTTGACAATGTCAATCATGAACAATTGATAGGTATTCTGCGAAAGACAGTATTGACGACAAGGACATTCGAATTGTCGCAAACCTATTCTGAGGTCAAACAGCAAGAGCAAAAATTGACAACGAACTCACTGAAAGTGAGCAGATCAAAAGAGGTGTCCGTCAGGGGTGTATATTATCCCACTCCTATTTAATATGTATTCCGAGGAAATATTTAACAAATGTATGGAAAATGCAAATGAGGGCATAAAAATAAACGGCGAGTTAACGAACAATATAAGATATGCCGACGACACGGTGATCCTTGCCAGTACCATAGACGAATTACAACAGGTAATGGAAAGAGTTTATTCAGTTAGTGAGGAATACGGCCTGAGCCTCAACTTTAAGAAGACAAAGTGGATGCTGATAAGCAAAAAGCAACAACCTGCTCGACAATTACGGATAAGTAACATACTAATTGACCATGTAGAATCTTATGTGTACCTTGGCACCAACGTAAATGCAAAATGGGAACAGGCCACAGAAATTAAGGCGAGAATAGAACGAGCTAGAGCAGCATTTAGCAATATGAAAAAGCTCCTCATAAGCAAGGATTTGTCTCTTCCCCTAAAACTACGTCTAGTTAAATGCTACATTTTCCGATCTTACTGTATGGTGTGGAGGCCTGGACGCTGACGGAGGCGCTCACGAGAAAACTAGAAGCATTCGAAATGTGGGTGTACCGACGCATTCTTCGTATATCCTGGACCGAACATGTCACCAACATAGAGGTACTCCAAAGAATAGGAAAGGATAAAGAAATCGTGAATACAATTAAACAAAGAAAGCTTGAATATCTAGGCCACATATTGAGACACGATAAGTACCGTTTGCTGAAATTGATTGTCCAGGGAAAATAGACAGTAAGCGGGGGGCAGGCAATAGAAGACACTCGTGGCTCCAAAATCTGCGGAAGTGGTTCGGGCTCACATCGGTCGAACTATTCAAAAGCGCCGCAAACAAGATCAGAATTGCCATGTTAATAGCCAACGTTCGCAACGGACAGGCACTTGAGAAGAAGAAGTTATGTACTTAATTTTACTATCAACTTTTTTTGTAGGCCAAATTCAATCTAATATTCAGTATTCTACATCATTATACAAAATACTAGAGTCCAACTCACCAATTATATCCTTTCCATCAGTACTTTTATGATCATGGTCGTCGTCATCGTTGTTATTATCATCATCCTCGACTCGATTCCTCGGTTCCCACGTCATCTTGTTTTCCTTTTTCAGTCTTCTTCTGGCGTTAGCGAACCACGTGGAAACTTGTGTCAATGTCATTTTGGTGATAATCGCCAACATGATTTTTTCTCCTTTGGTCGGATAGGGGTTCTTTTTGTGCTCGTTGAGCCATGCTTTAAGAGTACTTGTTGTTTCTCGGGTAGCGTTTTTCCGCCTAGCACCATTGAGATCCATTCCGTATCTGAAACAATGAAAATATATTGTTAAAAAAAAGATAAACTAATTTAAATCAAAATAAATAATTATCTCGTAAAAAGGCATACGTTAAGCAAATATGTATCCTATCACATCATCTTATCAGATATTGATTAAACGAGAAATGAGGAAGATTACAAGATATATAAAAAATTACATTGAGATGTAAAAGGAGAAGTGTAGACAGAGAATAGATGTAAATTCCAAGAGATCGAAATGGAGGAAGTATCCGAACATACACAAATAATTGAGATAACAACCGGAGAGTTGAGTGATGCCCTCAAAAGATCGAAAAACGGTAAAGCAGCAGGACCTGGAGACATCCCAATTGAGTTGATAAAGTACGGACCAAAAATATTACATGAAATGTTGGTTCAACTATTTAACCAATGCGTAAAAGGACAAAATATCCCTGATGATTGAAATGTTGGATATATCAGCTCAATATTCAAGAAAGGGATAAACGCAAATGCTCTAGATATAGGTGAATAAGTGTTATCAGCTCAGTGGGGAGGTTGTACAGTCGAATAATAAAAAAAAGAATAGAATCAGAATACGAAGATATAGAAGAACAACATGGATTTCGTACATGAAGATCGTGCACTGATGGTATGTTCGTTCGCAACAGGTATCGAAAACGAGGCAAGGCATCTATCTACCCCCTATTTTTGTAGATTTAGAGAAGCATACGATACGTACCTTGAAAAAACTGTTCAACATTGACGCAAGGTCAGTAGAGGTATGGATTCTAAATATATACAAAGTGCAAGAGTGTAGTTAAAGAGGAACTTTATCATCATTCGAATCAAAGGCTTAACAGGATGTTGTCTGTCGGACTTATTAAAATATATAAAATATATTCAATCATCGCTAAAACAGTATAGGAAACAAGTATCCGGAATGGGAATAGAAATATGCGGTGATAAATGTCAACTTTATTTTTCGCAGTTGATCAGGTAGTCGTAGCGAATGATGAGGAAGACATAGACTACATGTTTAGAAAACTAAAGAAAAAATATGAAAAATAGGGCCTTAATATGAATATGTCAAAGACAGATTATCTTAAAATAGGAAATGATGGAATCCATGCAATGAATATAAATATCTGGGATCTATAATATCTAGAGAAGGCACTACCAAAAGAGACATCGAAAACAGAACGCAGCAGGGGAAAAAAGCGTTAAACATTCTAAACTCTCCACTATGGTCTAAAGATATTAGACACAATTCGATAGACAATCTCGTAGACAATCTTGGTAGAGCCTATTATGACTTATGGGGCAGAAGTTTGGCAGATGACGAAAAAAGATAGAAAATATAAAATAGTAAATGATTTTCTAAGGAGTCGTAAATATAAAAAAGATCATATCAGGAATGAAGATATTAGAAGGAGGACAAATACTGTATATTCCAGTGTGGACAGAATTGAAACGAAACAACTAGTGTGATATGGGCAAGTGAAGCTAATCAATGAAGACAAATGGCAAAAGAAAGCTTTAAATTACATACCACAATAAAGAAGAAGGGGAGAGCCTTCAGTTGTCTGGGAAGAAAGTGTAAGGCACATAATGAGAGATAAAGCCATCAAAGAAGACAAATGGATGGACAGAAAACAATAGCGGTCGAAATGCGAGAAGCGGCGAGGCTGTAGGAACCTCGCTTAAAGTCATTTACTGAGAAATACCAAAAGCAAAACTAAAAGAAAGCTTTAATTATGGGAAATCTTCGAACAACGCTAAATCATACGTAAAGAACAAAGATAAAAGACAAACTAATAGAAAGACACAAAACAAAGAGAAGTAAATGCAAAAAATGGAAAAAAATTACACAACTTCGGTCATTCTAAAAACAGTAGTTTTACACCAAATTATCGAAACACTCTACCATTAATAGTTAAATACATATTAAAATATATTTATTTTACAGTGACTTTAGAGAAGAAGCATAAAGTTTATTACACGTGTGGGAAGAAATAGATATTAATAGGCTTTTAACTTTATAGTTTTAAGAGGCAAGTAATAAAATTATTGTTGAAAAGAATTTAGATTTATTTTCTGTAATTCCGAAACCTAAATAATTAAAACCTAATTTAATTTTTCATAGCTAATTATTCAAATCATGTGTAACTTTATAAACGTCACATGTTTGTTATTTTTCTTTAAATAATTATTATATTCCTATCAATTTGTGTTGATTTTATTCAGTTGTTAACTTTCTGCTTTGCTTTACTACTTTTTTTTTTAAATACTTGGTGCTTAACTTTCTGTTTACTAAATATTCTGCCATAATCTTTATTTTCCATTTTTAAATTTTCAGTTGTTTCAATTCTATTTTCCCTATTTATGCCATAGACATATAAAAAATGACATGTATTCTGGGTTAACCGCTAGGGGGCGTAACCTGCGAAGAAAATTTTGAAAACCAGTTTTTTGGGAAATATGTCCAATTATACAAGTGTTAAATAAGTAAACTAGAAAGGGGCATAAATTCTGCACAAAGTTGTTCAAGTACTTTTTTTTTTATTTTTTCAAATAAAGAGTGGGGGAGAGTGGAAAAGTATTTGTGGATAAATACCTATAACTTTGGTTTGGTTCAACCGATTTTAATGAGATTAGTGTCATTAGAAAGAGTGTAGACGAATTAATTCACATCTACTATAAAATACTTGCATTTAGTTTTCATAGTCGTAGGTAGAGGGAACTTTCAAATAAAAAAAATTAAAATTTGTGTTTCTTCAAAATTTTTAATGGAAACACCTATTTATTGTAATTTATAATGGAACTGAAATAAATTCGTAACAAAATGGAGCAAACCGCATGTTAATAGCTTTTGTTAAACTCGTGATATGAATAAAAACTCATAAACATAAGTAAGTATAGTATTGACACACCCTGTATTATAAATTACATTAAAAAAGTCAGTAGGTATTTTCAATTTTTTTTAATAGCAGAAGAATCTTAATATTGATACCTATTTTGTAAAAAATAGTTTTTTTCGAAACTAAGTAGGCTACGACAATGAATTTGACGGGAGTTCATATTCTTTATTTATCAAAACATTGTTAAGAAGTGCTATATTATAATTCGAATTAAAGATTGCACTTTTTGCAATAGATATTAATATTGGTAATATTAGTAATTAATTATCAGTACAAATAATTCGTGTATATAGTATATCAAATTGTATGATATGATTGGAGTTTATTTCGAATGTCACCAAAATGCCGCTATTGCCTCACGTATATATTTTGTAAGATATCGTGACAGGAGACATTATGGCAAAGAAGTATTTGAAAGAAAGGCAAAAAGATTAAGAGAAACTGGTAGTTTTTTCTCGTCCTTGTTTTAAACGACGTAGTAGAGTTATGACCGAAGATAATTAAATCCATATTCTTGCTTTAATTCAACAGAATCCACATATAAGTAGTCCGAAATCTCTACTTCTTTGCCACAATATCTCCTGCCAGGATATCTTACAGAATATATACGTGAGGCAATAGCGCCATTTTGGTGATATGCGAAATAAACTCCAATCATATCATACAATTTGATATACTCATCACGAATAATTTAGTACTGATAATTAATTACTAATATTACCAATATTAATATCTATTGAAAAAAATGCAATTTTCAATTCGAATTATAATACATACAACACTTCTTAACAATATTTTGACTGCTGTCAATAAATAAACAATGTGAACTCCCTGTTAAACTCATTGTCGTAGCCTATTTAGTTTCGAAAAAAACAATTTTTAATCATATGAAATAACAATGGTCAAAATAGGTATCAACATTAAGAGTTTTCTGCTATAAAAAATTTTGAAAGTACCTACTGACTTATTTTTAATTTATTTTATAATACAGGGTGTGTCAATACTATACTTACTTATGTTTATGCGTTTTTATTCATATCTCGAGTTCGATAAAAGTTATTAACATGCGGTTTGCGCCATTTTGTTACGAATTTAATCCAGTTCCATTATAATTTACAATAAATAGTTGTTTATAATAAAAATTTTGAAGAAAAACAAGTTTTAATTTGTTCTATTCGAAAGTACCCTCTACCTACGACAATTAAAACTAAATGCAATTATTTTATAGTAGATGTAAATTAATTTATCCATACTCTTTCTAATGACACCAATTTTGTTAAAATCGGTTGATCCAAACCAAAGTTATAGGTATTTATTCATAAATACTTTCCCACTCTCCCCCACCCTTTATTTGAAAAAATAAAAAAAAGTACTTGAACAACTTTGTGCAGAATTTATGCCTCTTTCTAGTTTACTTATTTAACACTTGGTATAATTGGACATATTTCCCAAAAAAATTGGTTTTCAAAATTTTCTTCGCAGGTTACGCCCCCTAGCGGTTAATCCAGAATCTTGAAAGTTATTTCCAGCGATTTCTCTTGGCCACTTTTACTAAGGAATTTTTTCTCCTAAAGTTATAACATGAATAGTTTCTGATATATAGCCGAGAGATCGGCTTATTGGACCACCAGGTACTTCAATTAATTTCAGTAGAAAAAATTGCTTTGAGATAGAAGCAATACGAAGACGTTTACGAATAATACCGAATTAAACTAGTATGTCTAAGGCGATTCGTAACTTCTGTTGATTTATGTATATTTGCCTCGATACTAGCTTACAATCCAAACTTATCCCTCTGTCTCATGCATCATTATTTCAAACTACTTATTGATATTCAATTCTAACCGTCCAACCTGCTTAGTTTCGAGTGTGAAAGGCGTTAGAAAATTGATAACAATCGAAATATTCATCCAACACCGGAAAATAAGAAGCCGGTGTCACACGTCAAGATCTCACTTCTGTGGAAACAGATGTGCCTCGAATATACACATATACAAGCGAACACCTCGGGGATGGATGGATCTAGCAGCCGAAATTAAAATGCGCTGTCAAGGCATATCACTGGAGAAACACGATGCATTTGATTATTTTTGTAGGGATGTGAATAT